ATCTGGTGTATCACTTCTTAATGCTAACAGAGCTCTATGGTAGCATGTTTCTTGACAGTAAGGGAATCAAATGAAGTCAGGTATCACCGTGATTTACTACATGATTACAGCACATAAAATCATGAATCTCTTGTCAAAATAATTTAATCTAAGTGATATTATTTATTAATGCATCTGATAATCTGTAACTGTCCAACCACAAACAGAACACCCTCTTTTGCCATTTCAAACTCCATGTATGGGACTTTAGATTACGTGATGTACAGCAGATACAGAGTACTTTCCAATAGATTATTAGCCTTCTCCTATCCCACATTACCTTCTGTTTTCCAGACACCAGAAGTAATTTGCCTCAATAGTTGTGTATTCATGAGCCTCAGTGCATGATTTGTGTGCTGTATGTAACTAGGGAAGATGGCTCTCACTTTTGCCTGACTGGGTCATTGTGTTTTGCCTGAAGTGTAGGAAGCAAAAGATGTTGCACTGAACATCTGCCCCTCTTCTCTAACACATCAAATGTAAATTATTTGTCTCCACTTCCAAGGCTTTTTCTGGCCTACCTACTTTCCTACTCATTAACTCTCACTTAATTTCGATAGGAGGTAACTCCCATCTCTGTTTCTCCCCTCCTTGCCTTCCACTAAATAAAAAAACAGCTTTGGGCTTGGTCCCATGCTGCTCTCACGCTTGTGAGGATGTCTCTGTGAGCATCTGCATGAAACCCTCATTACCCTCTTACAGACAAGAAAACAAAATGAAAACACATCATAAGCCCACTGAACTGCCATTAATCAGAAGCATGCCATAGCTGTAACAAGGTTCACACAGCTCAAATGCCATTTTTGAACTGTCATGTTTATTCCTATCCAGCATTATGTAAAAAACATCTCACACATATGATGAGACGCAGCAAAACACCGTTTAACTTCATCATTACAATTTCTCCTCCAGCTGTTATAAACAGTTCTGTACTTTTCATCTGTATTTCTTCACAAAACGCATATAAAAACTTGTTTTTACTGTGTATCGCGGCTGTCTGCACGTTGAACGCTTCTGCATTGTTGTGACTGCCTTCACACTTACTGTAAATAAATCTGGTCTCTGTGGTACATTTACCCCTCTGTTCTGCCTTTACTCTGCTGAATTATATGCATTTCTGGTTTTCACAGGTTGTTAACTCTGGTTTTGTAAAGCATATTTTTCAGTAACTCTGCACTTTTTTCACCCCAAACCATATTTCTCTCTGGTAATAACTTTGTTCTGACCAGGTGATGAGCTGTATCATAAATAATTTGATCGGTCTGTAAACTGTTCAAATGTTTATTATTTAATTTTATTGCATTTCTCTGTAACAGAATGTTCAACTGTTTCACACAACAGCTACTTCTTCATGAAGAAAAATGTTCCTTGCTTGTATGATAGTCCTACACTGATCACTGAAGTCTTCACACTCGTTCAAGCCATTTCTGGTCCCCTTCATACTTGCTTTGGCACAGTTGAGAAGAGCTTGCAAACACACTACTGGGCAAATCTGTTCCTCTCTCCCCACTAAGTGTATCTAGGCAGCATAAGTACACCTACAGCTTATACTCTGTGTGTGTGTGCAATCGCACGGGTCATCACATACATGTTTAAAGGAACCAGAACAGAAGCTGTCATCAGGTTGAGACCTGACAGCCAATGGGAGACTCATACCAGCTACAGCAGAAGGACCTAAGACACTGCTTTTCAGGGAAGAGTGAGACTATATTACAGAATGGTCATGCACTGGATGCTCCAGTGTCTTCTTACTCCCTATATACTTCTGTAATAAATTGTCAATCAGGGGTAGGGTTGCAAACTTGGTAGATAGAACTTTTACTGTAATAAAATAATCGTGAGTAGAACATTTAGACAAATAACAAGAGGTCCTGTAGAAGCTGTTGCTCTTTGCATGGTCGACTTAAAAAAATTCATTGTCTGACAAGCAAAAGAGTAAGAGTGAACATCACTCTCTAGAACTCTCTACCCACTCTAGATGGCTAAAATATGTCGTCCTGGCAGGGAAACAACTGGGTTCCCAGCTCTGTTATAAACATCAGTTCCCCGTGAGAACTGATACTGGGATAGTGAAGTCTGCAGGACCAGCAGGCCTAAAAAAAGGCAAAGACAGAAGAAAATGCCCAGCGTTTTCAGAAGACATGCAATAAATTTTAAACAAGTATCCCTAGAGCAGGATGCCAAAGCTCCTCTCGTTACACTCCATGCAATTGGCTTAACCTTCAGAAATGCTCCCAACTGAGACTTTGATGTGCTTGGTTCCTTTGAAAATAAGGAGGGATGCTTAAATGGCAAAAATTAGAGTCCTTTATTAATCAGATAACCTGGGTCAAAATATACATATAACCAAGCTGTATATACAATTTTGGACACTTGTAGAAAATAACTTACTTGAATTAGAGACAAATTTTGCCAGGTGCCATCCCACACATCCAGCTCCCATTTATTTTCCACCTGAACTCTTCCTATTAGGTGACAAACATCTTAATAATTTTGCCCAAATCTACTGGAAATAAAGGAGGTGTAAAATAAAAACAAAACAGTTGTACAGCCAATTCAGCATTTTGCCAAAAATGTTATATCCTTCAGAAGAAAGCTCACATAGCCATCTAACTATATAAAGGTACCATAAATGGAAACAGCTTCCTAATCTTTTCACTTGAGCATTCCCCTGAGATGAGAGAATTAATAGTCCTTGTAATTACCAGGGCAGAAAATGTAACAGCAGATGTCTATCTTCACTAATTATCTAAAGCTCTTAGAAATTTACAAAATTATTTATCTCACCAAGATTCTTTGCTCTAAGTTCCATAGATTAATTATCCATTACTCTAAATATGATTACCCTTTCTTGACCCAAGCAGTGAGCAGTAATTGAGAGTCCTAAGGTGGTGGTGGTGTCAGGGAGAGTAAAAACTATTGAATAATCAGCCATTTTTTTATCTAATCCTGTTTGTCCACAAAGAACGTCCAAACTCTTGTTTCTCTAAGAATAAGAAGAATCAAACACATGGAGGTTATTTTTTTGGTTGGCAGCAAACCTGAATAGCTCTCCTGTCTGCTTTGTTCCTTCATTTTGTTGTACTCTGCCTTCCCAAAGCCATACTCACATTTTTTGTTCTGACTGTGTCCCTGGCTCCCTCTTCTTTGTGTTTGATTCTGTTATCCTCGTTATGCTTCTTTCTCATACCTAGACACATACACTATCAAAAAAAAAAAAATCAGTACCCAGCCTCCCCACTTGCCAGTGAAACTTCTTGGGTCATGAAGTCAAAATTGTCTCATATGTTGCTTTAAGCCTGTGATTGGGTGATGCATCTTTTGTCTCAAGTAGCTGATTCCTCTGAGAAGCCTGGCTGCTCTTCACGGTCTAGCTGAACAGAAAGCAATCATCACACCCATCAACATAACCATATCACAGCAGTTCTAGTTGCCTTTTTCAACTTTTTTGACTTCCAGAGCATGTTTTTATTTTTGTATTAAACAGAAATGGTCTGCTTTCCATTTTACCATCTACTCTTCTACTTTCTGAAATGTTTCTTGCACTATTCTTTCCTTTCCAAAGAAGAGTCTCCTCATCTTTTAGCCTTTGTTTCTCCAATGAAATTTCATTAGTGATTTTAACCTATGCTATCTTTATAACACTTTTAGGTATCTTCTTTTTTAAGATGAGGAAAACTAAAGTAATCCACCATTTAAAGAGAGAATATGCTATCCCTATATAGTCAACTATTACTACTTTTTCTTTTCTCTCCACTTTACACTGTCTCCTGGACTGTTTGCTTTTTTGGATTTTCGTTGAAAGTTTAGCTGGGATTCTATAACGTCACAACATATAATAATAAACCATTATTCTGTAATAACCCTCCCACAATCTTTTATCTTCTCCACATCTTCCAGAAGTCCTCCTCACAACTCAAGCATCTTCTTACTCTTATACAGTGGTTTCTTCACCACACACTTCAGTGCTTGTTGCAGGAGCTAATTCCCAACACACTGCTATAGCTGGAGCCCCCGGGAGCAAATAACCGGTTCCACGATGCATAGCACCCAGCATGGGCATACACCGGGAAAGTGCTTCCCACATCATCATTTAGGACATCTAGCAAAACTGATGGGCCGCTCCTCCTCTCTACCGTACAGCTACAGCTGCGTGACACCAGAAATGTGCAGAATTTACTCAGCCACACAGAAGGATATGGCTACATGATATGGACTCTCAAGCCAAATGCTACCACGCTATGTATGAGACACAGATACTTCAGAAAAGCACAAACATTTATGGCTTCATTCTCAGAACGATGGTGGAAAATACTTAATGTTTCTACTTTTAATGAACAGGAACTATGGGTGTTCAGCACTGGGGACAATATCAACATTATCCATAGAGATGATAAGGAACTCTACGTGCATTTGAAGAGCAGAAGAGATATGGCAAGATTTACCTTTCAATGACCACATTTCTCTCAGCATAGACACTGTATTTACAATCTTTGTCCATAAAATTCATGTGAGTGATATTTATGTCTATTGAAGTGTTTACATACTAAAATATTATCAACAATGTCAATTACCAACAATGACAGTGTGTCTGTTCCTCCTCTGGAGCCAGAAAGTACTCATATATGCTCACTGGCAGTGTTATTAATGTTTAATTTGTGTGCCAATAAAGTTGACATCCATCTCCTAATAATGGTTTAATTTTAAGGAAGAAAAAAAGTGAGATTTAGGAACTCAGTTGAGACGTAGGACTCAGTGGTTGAAGCTCCTGGTCTGACAATTACTGGGTTTTTTCTAATCCAAAAATTTCAAGGAAGGTAGTTAGGGTTTACAAACAAAACACCAAGAAGATCATTGACTTTGAAGAAATGCCTAAAAAGAAGCTCTTGTTACTGTACACAATGCAATATCAAGGCAGGTGTTGAAGATTCACATGTTCTAAACAGCAAACCTTGGTTTACCTCGTGGGACATTTTTGTATCCTTCGTACCCCACCTGTTTATACATCATCTTCGTTTTTATATCACACCTAATACTGACTCCCTGTGCAGTCTCCTCTAAAAACCATACAGAGAAACTAATCTTTTCAGACCAAATTTTTCCAAGCTCCATTGGGTAATTTTATTTGCATGCAACCTTCTACAATTCGGACCAAGCCAACTACCACAGTCCACG